GCAATATTTTGTAAAAAACCAATGTAGTGTAATTGCTTGTTCTAGTTTTGTACGTGAATTTAGTGTGTAATAACATTAAATTATTAATAAGGAAGCTATTTTTTGCACTGCGTAAACCCGTAAAGGATCGCCCCTGCCACTACATCAGATTTGATAGACCACAAATCCTCGCTAAAGAACAAAGATTCCTTCCAATGATGATTCGCGAGGCTATTGAAATAAAAAAAGTATCCTAATATCAATAAAGAAGATGGCTGGGTGCTACCACCTGCTTGGGATCCTATAATTAATAAAATTAATCCCAACCCAAGCATACAATTGCAAGACTCCAAGATACTTTAAGTTCATAATGCGTAGATCGGAATATAAATTAATTATTTTTATCTGCAGGTAGCCATAGTTAACTAAGACATTGGGAACCCCCCCCCCCCCCCCCCCCCGTGACTATGGGTGCTGTAAAGTGCCCGTAACTTCGGGAATATAAAATAAGTTAATGCACGCGATAAAATCCCAAAAAACCAGTTTAATTTAAATGTGTATTGTATGCATAAATATAAGAAATCATTATGGAGCTACAACTTTTCAAAACTAGTAAACCCTTGACTTTGACTATACCGACTGTCAGGCAGTTTCTTTCGTTGCGAGAATAGTCCTGTTAGTGATGACGGCCCAGTCCCAGCAAATTATTACGAGGTCATTTTCGAGCATGGCTTCCGGAAAATACTTATAATAAGGCAGTTTCCGAACCACGAAACCGTATTTGAGAACGAGCTTCTGGTCTAGAATTCTGGCTACAAGATTATGTCTGTACAAACATTCAGACTAAGAAAGCGAGCAACTGGAGAGGACACGCTCAACAGATGTCGACGGCTTAGGATGTAACTCCGATAGTTGATCTAAATAAACTGATCCTGTATCGCACAGATAAAACCCTCGGTTTCCCCAAAGGGGTCACCAAACCGTAGGCAAAGGAGGGAGCCGGCGGTGTCTAAAAGGGTTGTGTAGAGTATTGTAGGTCCTCCCGTGGATTTTTTTCTCTTTCGGAGACGCTCGATACGCACTTGCCATTGCTCGTTGGCTAAGGATAGAGGATTAAACCCTTTATCACACACAATGAAGCCTTATCAGCCTCATCTTCGAAAATTACTGCACTATTCAGGTCATATTAAAACATATCTTAAATTTCGAAATTATAATGCTACTCTAAATATTCAGCAACATTTTGATTCTCGAGAATCAAAAGCAACAAATGAAGTGCGAGTGTTTGACAAATATTTCACGATAATCCTATCTTGATAACAGAGTCATTGAATACTTCTCCAAATGTCGCCGAGTCATTACTCAAACAGAATGTTAATACCTGTTTAAAAGAATTTAGATTTGAAACAGTACTACCACAAGATATTGTAAAATACTTCAAAACCAATGATGTGAAGAAGACCGCAGATTTGTGGGGGATTTCCGTTACAGTTACTGCGTCCATAATAGATTTAATTGCACCTCATCTTGCTATTATTCTTAATACTTGTATCGATTCTGGTGCGTTTCCTGATTTAATCATGTATAGTAAAGTAATACCTTTATTTAAATCTGGTAGTACATTGGACCCCGCTAATTTTAGACCTATTTCTGTACTACCAACTCTCAGTAAAATTTTTGAAAAAATTATTTTTGATCAATTGCTAATTTTTTTAATACAAATAAATTACTTCATAAAAACCAATTTGGTTTTACAAGGGGTTGCTCGACGTCTGACGCCGGTGTTGAGCTTATGAAATATATTTTTAATGCCTGGGAGAATTCACAAGATGACATTAATCGGGAAACTACAACGTGTAAAAATTTGACTCGCTTCGCTTTGCGACTGACTTCGCTTAGACTTATTACTTCATATTTAAGTAACAGAACTCAAAAAGTCGTGATCAATGGTAAAAGTTCCTCCGGATGGGTAGTATCAATGGTCGTTCCTCAGGGCTCGATTCTTGGCCCATTCCTGTTTTTAATATATATTAATGACTTACCTTATCTTGTAGGGGACAATCACTATATAGTATTATATGCTGACGATACCTCTTTAATTTTCAAACTCAAACGGCAGTTAATTAATGATGCCGATGTAAATAATGCTCTATTGAAATTGGTACATTGGTTTAACGCCAACAATATGCTCTTAAACGCCAATAAGACAAAGTGTATTAAATTTACAATACCTAATGTAAAAATTCAAATACCAATGTGCTGTTAAATGGAGGGGAGTTAAGTCTTGTGGATACCACTGTTTTTCTTGGTATTACTATTGACGCGAAACGTCAATGGGGATTTCTGCAGGATATGCTGTAAGAAAGATTAGAAGTTTCACAGATATTGAGACAGCAAGATTAGTGTATTTTAGTTATTTTCATAGCGTAACGTCTTATGGAATTTTGTTATGGGGTAATGCAACGATATTGAAGCTATATTTGTTTTACAAAAGAGAGCCGTACGGGCAACTTATAACCTAAATTTTAAAGAGTCCCTCAGAGAAAAATTTAAAGAAATAAACATATTAACTTTGGCATCGCAATATATTTATGAGAATGTAATGTATGTGCATAAAAACATAAATAGCTTTAATAAGAATAAGGATGTGCATACTTTCAACACTAGGAACAAACATAAGCTTGTAATGCCAGTTACTAGACTCCACAGAATCAGTAATTCATTTATGGGGCAATGTATACGCTTTTACAACAAAATCCCAGAACATGTTCAAAGTTTGTCAATAAACAAGTTTAAAAATTTTATTAAAGAAAAAGTTTTCAAAAAGGGTTATTATAATATCAAGAAATACATGAATGAAAATAACTCCTGGGAATAAGGTGATCGCCACCATGCTGGTTCTATGAAAAATCATTTAAAAATTGGATAAACGAAATTATTGTTAAGTGTTACAGCTTATACGTGGTAGAGCCATGCTGCAGCTATATTTCTGGTATAGTTGTAACACGAATGGGTCGGCTTGACCGGGGAAGGACCACGCTCTCACAGAATACCAGCGTAAAATAGCAGCTTAATGCTGCTGTGTTTCGTATGGTGAGTGTAGAGAACCGGAGACCCTTTTTACTGGAAACGAGGCATTCCATCTTAGTCCTCACGGGTGACAACGCATCTACATTTTGATTCGTAATCGAGGATAAATGTAGATGTCTATGGGCCACAGCAACCACTTACCATCAGGTGGACTGTGTGCTCGTTTGTCACCCTTATCCTATAAAAAAGGTGAAATATGTTTGAAAAAAAAGTCCCGCTGGGTTTCTTGCTGGTTCTTCCCAGTACAGAGGTATTTTCCGAACCAGTGGTAAATAAAAAATGACTTTCAATAGGTATTATGAAGTAATCAATATTGAATAAAAAATTATTCTATTCTATTCTATTCTAGTGAACAAGTACTTAATCGGCTGTGGGGTCCGGTCTGAAGGGTATAACGACCAGTATAATTACAAGCTGTAAGCAGTAAGTCATTCTATCATAGTCCTTAGTGATTCCCCTTGGTGACAAAGCATCTGTAGTTTTTTGAAGTTGGCTGCAGGTGACCATGAACTGCAGTAGCCACTTACCATTAAATTCATATTTATCACTTCAGTTTTATAAAAAAAGAATAGATTAGTTGCATAGTGTAGGCGTCTATGAGTTCAGCACACCATTCACTTACCATCAGGCGTACTATGTGCTCGAATGTCATAAAGTGTGTAACAAAAAAAAATAGATTCATATTCCTTTTCTTCGTTGTTTCTGATTCTCCGTCTTCCATTCTCTATGAAAACTTTTTTTTTGTGGGGACGTGGCTACACACAACCACCTCGCTTAGACTAGAGCGATTATTAACGAGTGAAAATTAGTATGCTTTTACTCGCTGATTGAGTTTAATTATCTATTAACGACCTATGAAGGCCTTTGCCGCTAAAGATATCCTCAACCAGCGAGTAAAATTTCAAGTGTCAAAATCATACTGATTTTCATAAATACTGGTGACAAAGATTTTCTGAATATTATTCCAAAGTTATAAAAAGTTCCAAAGTTAAAATATAGGTATGAACATACATCATAAAAAGAACAAGTGAACTAAATCAACCCCTGTAAAACGAAACGCTATTCCCTAAAAATAGAGGGGTGAGTTTATATACTTACGTTGCATTATATAGTATCTGACTGCGGCATTATTAGTCGCGAGTGTACTTCCAAGCCTGAATGTCGTTTTACAAGACCCCTTACCATTCTAGAAGATATAAAAACAGTGAAAATTTTATTAATGTGCAACAAAGTGAAAAACTAAACGAAATTCCGTAAGTGGAAGTTATTCTTTAAGTGAAGTGTAAAAACAAAGTGAAGTTATGACGTTACATGCCTTGCCGGCATCCAGTTACATGATACAAGAACAAAGATTCAAAAGTATCGATTCATCAACGATTAGTATGCCTTCTTTAATTTTTCGTAATCGGTAAGTTTAATGAAAAGTATTTGCAAGTTATGCCGTGGGCTCGTGGGTGAAGCTTAAAATGGATCAATAACAGGACTGCGGTTGAGTTCTATCTTTATTGATTACTTAGTCAATAATTGCCATGACTTATTGCTATTGTTCAATTTAATAGTATATATAATGTTATATGGAATCCTATTTTTTTTATATATTTTATTAATTTACCTACAAATAGACGTACTCTACATGTAGGGTAAACTATAAAAATGTTTGTTATTTAATTTTCATTTTATTAAGAAAACTTATTAAATATTTTTTTATTTTATTTAAATATTTAACATTATTACGTATAACGAAACGCAAAAGTTGCGATAAAAAAACGTCACATTTCCGGCGGCCATCATGTAAAAGTTGCATTAGCCGACCAAATTTAGATGTTCAATAAGCTCACGTATTATCAATATAAAGTATGTTACTTCTTAAATCGACATAATAAAGCGATAACTTCGAGCAAAGTAATAGACAAGAATTGTGCTAATTTATCAATTCGTCATCGTGTTGTGAAACGTCTGCTTGTGCTGCGCAGTTTGTCTGCTACAAGTTACGGCCTAAACCGTGATTTTCTTTTCAAAGTATAAACAAGGCTTAACTACGATTTGCCAATATGACGAAGTTAATACAACAGTTAAATTTTAGTAGTAGTAATTACTTCGACCTTGTAAGATACGAGCCTAACTCTACTAAAGGAGAGAATTACTAGTAAGTAACAATTTTTTTCATAAATACAATTTTGATCAATACGTAAATCAATTTATCAATACTATAAGCAGGTATGTATATACTTTAATTCTAGAAGGAAACTAATTTCTCTTGCCCTACGTCATCACATCGCCATTGGCGGATTACCTTCGCTTTGTTGAAATAAAATATGTTCATTGTCTTTGATTTGAATCAATATCAAACACTGAAATAATGATATATCTATTTATTTCAAGTTAAATACAATATTTGTACACAAAAGATGAGCGGGAATTAATATGTATAATTTCAGTAATCAAATTATTTACGTAATCTAACTTAGAAGCTTAAAACCGGTTTGTGCTTTGTGCATCTTTCCACTTTATATCAGATATGCTTGAAGCCGTAACAATACTGTTGGGATTTGTTTAGAATCATACAATATCTGCAGTTTCGCTTTATTTTATATTATATTTTTATAACTACCCGCATAGTTATGGATAAGGTATATATCTTTATTTTATAGAAAAAGAGTGACAAAGGGACACACAGTACACCTGATGGTAAGTAGTGGGTTCTGTGGCCCATAGACGTCTACATTTATTTTCGATTAAGAACCAAAATGCAGATGCATTGTCACCCCTGAGGACTAAGATGGAAAGCCTGGTTTCCAATTAAAAGGATCTTCGGTTCTCTACGCTCAACATACAAAGCACAGCACAGTATTCTGTGAGAGTGTGGTCCTACCCTGTCGAGCAGACCCATTTGTGTTGCAACCATAATATAGCTGCATCATGGCTCTACTATGTTGAAAAGCAAGGATGCACTTTAAACTATTACACAAATATGTGAAATATATATTTATTGCAAGTGCTTGACTGGTGGTTAATGGTGATGATGCCCTTGAAGGTAAATCACTATTTACTGTAACAAAATCCCATTTACTCTTGCATTAAAGATGTACAGATTGTAATCACATAGGAAGACAGATGATGGTAAATTATTCCACTTCTTTTGTTGTACACATTATGCAAAACACTAGTTCAAATTAGTGGAATATCTACCACAAAGGGTTGGGAGACCAGCAGTCCGTCTAGTTTTCTGATAGTAGATACTAAACTAGTATACATAAAAAACTAGCTTAGTTTTATATATATGTAATACATTAAAAACTTGATGAGGTATTAACTAACTGACTGCTTTAAATTGCCACTCAATTACAAAATTATCAAAAATTCAGATCAGAGAATTTTAGATCACTGCAAGGAAGTAGTAGACATAGGCACTTTCAATTAGCCTCATAAGCCTGTAATATAACCTAGTCGGTGGTGTTGGCATAAGACAGTCTATCACACCTTTTTGTCCTGTGAGAGTTGTAAGAAAAATATTCATGGTATGTTGTAGAGTTTAACGTTGTTGTATACATTTTACATGGTGCAAATGTATACAACGGTGGTAGAGCCTTGCAGCAGCTTTTGCTGTTGCACGTATGGGCCGGCTCGAGCCGGGTTAGTACCACGACCTCACAGAATACCGGCGTGAAGTGGAAGCTCTGCTTCCGCGTTTCGTCTGGTGAGTGCAGGTGACCGGAGGCCCAATTCCCCCCCCCCCCCCATCAACATGGTAGCGGAATTACGTCATGAACTACCCCAGGAGGGTACCAGTACCCCTGGAGAATCCCTCGCTGAGCATCCACGACCATGCTATTCCACTCCTGAGCGTGGGTGCTCAGGCTGCCCCGCGTATTCTGGGGGGGGCAAAATTCCGCTCAACACAATAACTGCTCGGGGCAAACTGAGCAACAAGACCAAGGCGACCCCTGCCACGCTATCCGTGAATTTCTGCAACATCAGGGGACTTCACTCGAACCTAAACGCCGTCCACTACCATCTTGAGACGGCGAAGCCGGCCTTGCTCTTTCTGACCGAGACGCAGCTGTCCTCTCCGGCTGATACTTCGTATCTCTCCTACCCGGGGTACAAATTGGAGCACTCCTTTGTGCCTCGGGCTGGAGTTTGCGTGTATGTCAGAGAGGACATCTGTTCTCGACGCCTCGGCAGTCTTGAAGGTTCGGACCTGTCCATCCTTTGGCTACGCGTAGACAGCGACGACCATCCGCGCGTCTACGCGTGCCTCTATAGGTCCCATAGCGGTAATGCCGAAACAGACCGACTCATCGATCACGTCCAAATGGCTACAGATTCCTTGCTACAACAGGTCCCATCCGCAGAGATCGTGATCCTTGGCGATTTTAACGCCCACCACGCCGAATGGCTCGGTTCACGTTTAACCGATCATGCGGGGAGATCTGTTTATGACTTTGCCTTGGCATATGGTCTGACACAACTGGTTACATCGCCTACGCGGATTCCAGATGTTGAGGATCATACACCTTCCCTGTTGGACCTTCTGCTGACCTCTCATCCGGACGGATATCAGGTTTCCGTCGATGCCCCTCTTGGCTCTTCGGACCATTGTCTGATCCGGAGTGTGGTGCCACTCACGCTCCCCTCGCGGTTGCGTTCTGCAGGTTGCCGCCGTGTTTGGCATTACAGGTCGGCGGATTAGGACGGAATGCGGTCTTTCTTTGCTTCCTACCCATGGGGGCGGGTTTGCTTCTCGCCGGATGATCCCAGCGCTGTTGCTGACTCTGTCACTGATGTGGTGCTACAGGGAATGGAACTATTTATTCCATCATCTGTGGTACCCATCGGAGGCAGATCTCAGCCTTGGTTTGGTCGCTCCTGTAAGACTGCATTACGCAGTAAGCAGGAGTGTTATCAAGCCTGGGCTGCGGCTTCGGTGACTCGGGATGTAAACACCAGCACACTCAAAAAGAAGTATAACTTCGCCTCCAGGTCCTTCAAAAGAGTTATTGCCAAGGCAAAGTCAGAGCACATAGGCAGAATTGGCGAGAAACTAGTTCGCCTTCCTTCGGGAACCCGTGCATTCTGGTCTCTCGCCAAGGCTGTCCAAGGGAATTTCTGTAAGCCATCACTACCACCTCTGCACAGGGACGACGACTCACTGGCCCACGACGCAAAAGAGAAGGCCGACCTTTTAGGCTCCCTTTTTGCGTCCAACTCGACTGTTGATGACGGGGGGAACACACCGCCGACCATCCCGCGGTGTGAGTGCTCCATGCCGGATGTGCGGTTCTCACAGCGCTCGGTTCGCAGAGCACTCCTCTCCCTTGACATCTACAAGTCGAGTGGGCCTGACGGAATCCCCCCAATTGTGCTGAGGACGTGTGCTCCGGAGTTGGCACCGGTCCTAACGCGTCTTTTCCGGTACTCCTACTCCCAAGGCGTAGTCCCGAGTTCATGGAAGACAGCTTTTGTCCACCCAATCCCTAAAAAAGGCGACCGCTCAGACCCGTCCAACTATAGGCCTATCGCGATCACCTCCTTGTTCTCCAAAATAATGGAATCCATTATTAACTGCCAGCTCATCCGGTACCTTGAGGATCACCAGCTGATTAGTGACCGCCAATACGGTTTTCGTCGGGGTCGATCAGCTGGTGATCTTCTAGTCTACCTGACCCATAGATGGGCGGAGGCAGTAGAGTCCAAGGGGGAGGCGTTGGCCGTTAGTCTGGACATTGCGAAGGCCTTCGATCGGGTTTGGCACAAAGCGCTTCTTTCGAAGCTCCCTTCCTATGGGCTTCCCGAGAAATTGTGCAATTGGATCACCAGCTTCCTTGCAGATCGGAGCATCAAGGTCGTTGTAGACGGTGCATGCTCCGACTACAAGCCTATTAACGCTGGTGTTCCACAAGGCTGCGTGCTATCACCAACGCTGTTTCTTCTGCATATCAATGATATGTTGCAAGCCGGTAGCATTCATTGCTATGCGGATGACAGCACTGGTGATGCTCTATACACCGGCCGTGCCAATATTTCTCGGGAAAACGTCACTGAGTACCGGAACAAGCTTGTGTCTGAAGTCGAGTCTTTGCTGGACAAAGTCTCGGATTGGGGGCGACTAAATCTAGTCCAGTTTAATCCTCAGAAGACACAAGTTTGCGCGTTTACCGCTAAAAAGAACCCCTTTGTCGTATCTCCTCAGTTTCAAGGTACTCCCCTTGTTGCCTCAGCCAGTATCGGAATCCTCGGCGTCGACATATCGAGTAGCGTGCAGTTTCGTGGTCACTTGGAAGAGAAGGCCAAATTGGCCTCTAAAAAGCTTGGCGTGCTCAGCAGAGCGGGACAGTATTTCATGCCGGCTCAACGCCTGCAACTTTACAAGGCGCAGGTTCGGCCTCACATGGAATACTGTTCCCATCTCTGGGCTGGGGCTCCCCAGTGCCAGCTTCTTCCACTTGACCGCATCCAGCGCAGAGCGGCTCGAATCGTCGACGACCGAGTCCTTTCCGATCGGCTCGATTCATTGGCACTGCGAAGAGATGTTGCATCTCTTAGCATTTTCTTTCGCATTTACCATGGGGAGTGCTCTGAGGAATTGTTCGGATTAATCCCAGCCGCCAAATTTCACGAACGCACATCGCGGCAGAACTCTCGATACCATCCACACCATCTGGATGATTGGCGGTCCACCACTGTGCGATTTAGAAGATGTTTTCTTCCTCGCACAACTTCCTTGTGGAATAGTTTGCCACCAGCGATTTTTCCGGACCGATACGACTTAGGGACCTTCAAGAAAAGAGCCTACTCCTTTTTAAAAGGCCGGCAACGCATCTGCAATTCCCCTGGTGTTGCGGTTGTTCATGGGCGGCGGTAGTCACTTACCATCAGGTGAGCCGCATGCTCGTTTGCCCCCTCTGCTATAAAAAAAAAAAAAAAAATACAACAACGCTGCAAAATGCTGCAGCTATATTACTAGTATAGTTGTAGCACAAATGGATCGGCTCAACCGAGAAAGAAGCTCTAACAGAATACCAGTGTAAAATAGCAGCTTAACGCTGCTGTGTTTCGTATGGTGAGTGTAGAGAACCTGAAACCCCTTTTACTGGAAATGAGGCATTCCATCTTAGTCCTCATGGGTGACAACGCGTCTGCATT